AGAGAGACAAGGAATATGGAGGAGATAGCATGGCCTCTGTTCTCTCCCTGGTCATACTGACTGGATGAGAGCCACCAAGGACCCATAAGAGACCATGGTTAAAAGCATGGGCTTTGGGGCCACCTGGGTGGCTCAGGTGGCTAAGTGACTCTCTGCTTTGGCTCAGGTCATGATCTCAGGGTTATGGGATCAAGCCCCACATCAGGCTCTGCACTCAGCAGGGAGTCTGCTTGAGATTCTCTCTTTCCCTCCCACCACTCAGGTGTGCACTCTCTCTCTCTCTCAAATAAATGATTTTTTTTTTTTTTTTAAAGCATGGACTTTCGAGTAGACCACCTGGATTTAAATCCTGGCTCTCTGACTGTAGGCTGAGTGAGCCTGGGGAAATTACTCCCACTCAGTATCTTCACCTGTGAAAATAAAACAAAACTCATGGAGCTGTTGTAAAGTTTAAGTAAGTTAATATTCTTGAAGTGGTTAGAATAGCCCTGTGCCCCACAGTAAGTGCTCTTTAAGAGCTATTGAAGAAGTCATGGTGACCAGGGCTGGCATTAAACTGCTAAGGAAGGGCTTTGTGTCACCCTGAGCTGCTCTGGAGACCAGGTGACAAAGTGTGACCAAAAATTAGGGACACAGGTCTCTTCATGTCCCAACACCGAACCTTCGCCAGCCTTGGAATTACCAAATACTGGAAGCTTTAGAATCATTCTTCTTCAACAAGGACTTTGAAATGAGAGTGGTGGAGGGAGGGCAAAGGTAAGGATAGGAAATCTCAGGCAGCATCACAAACAAGAGGAGAAAGACAGTGACAAGGATGGATCTGTGACAATAGCAGAGACAGCAGGCAAAGACAGAGACACCAGTTTGTGAGTACATGCCAAAGACCCTTTCCAGACCTCCCAGAAATAATATGCTGAGGCTGACTGGATGGAGCTTGGCATCACGACAATGGGTTTTCATCCATGTGTCTGGTAATTGATACTGATTTCCGTCTGGGATCTTCTCTTGAACTATCAACTCCAGGACCCACACATGTTCTCTCCATTGACCTGCGCCTCCTCACAGTATGGTGGCCTCACGGTATTCAGTCTTACTCCCTGGTGGGTCAGTGCTCAAAAAAAAAAAAAAAAAGGGTCCCGACTAACAAGGTAAGAACAGCATTGCTATGATGACTTAGCCTCAGAAGTCACACTGCCTCACTTCTGCCACTTTCTGTTCATTACTAATGAGACACTAGGTTGCCCAGCTCCAAAGGAAGGAAACGTGGACCACCCATCTCGATAGATTAAGTGTCAAGGTCACATTGTAGAAGGACACGTGGGATGGGAAATATCAATGCGGCTAAAATGCAATCAGCAACAGGAGATATCAAGCCAGGAGATATTTGCATTACATATATTTTATATATATATATATATGTTTTAACTTTAATGAGATAATAATCTACTTAGCCTACAAAATCTTTGTATTTCTCTATGGCAATATTATTACAAAGGATAATCACAATATTATGCAGCCATCATGTGCTTCCTTATGGAGTAGAAATAAAAAAAACACAGGAGTCAACTGTGTTCTTTGAAACATAGCAATTCTATATGGTGAGAGGTTGATAAGCACAAAAGGAAGGTATTGGCTTTTGTAGCAAGGAAAGTTGTTAAATGGCTCACAGAACTGAAAGACCTTCATGACCCAGGATCTACGGGATGACAGGTGGGGTCTCAGTCCTGACACCAACTTTTTCTCTGCCATCTCTCATCTCTGCTTGTCTCTTTCCTTTTTGTGTATAGTCCTTGTTGTCTCCTACTGTAGACATGGGACCTTCTCTGTAAGGCTGGTGAATGACCCACCAGCAACCACACAGTAAGTCAGAGCTTCTTTTTTCCAGTGTCAAGACTGATCTGCTCCACTTTAGTCACATAACTTCTCCTTGGAATTACTCTTGCTGGGGGATAATGCCCTCTACTTAGCAGGTCACATATTCACTCCTTGGCCCAGAGGTCAAGATCTGTGGCATCTACTGAGTACTGTTGTCGTTTGAACATATGAGTATATGCATAGGTCATGAAAATAAACAGCCCTAAAAAAGTCAAAATGTTTCTACAAATTTGCAGCTACCCCAGTGTATTCTGTTTTTCATAGCAGTCTTGGTTGGGAAAAAGAGCGGATTATCTTACCAGTAAGAACAGACGAGTGTTCTTGTCTGGCAAGGGCTGGAAAATACCTAAAGACATTACCTGCTGCTGTCTGGGACTCACAGACAAAGGAATTCGATGATGCACAAGTACTCAATTCTAGTATTAGAATTTCACAGTGTCCCTTGTCCTTTGGAAAGTTGATCATCCCCCCTTCTAGGGATAGGGGTAGCCCCTGGCTTCAGCTAGCTTTTGGTAAGCAACCATGGAAGATCTCCCAGGGTCATTCATTGACAATAAGAGGAAGTGATACTGGGAAATGATAGCAGGGCTAAAATAAACAGTTTGCCTGATGGAAACTAATAATAATGTTTAAGGTATTTTAAAAATTGACATTTGTTTGTCCAACCTAAGGGGATGAAACAATTAACCACCCAGCAAGACAGCTCCCTCGAGTCTTTCTGGAAGAGATTAAGACACTGACTTCATTCAACTCCGTTATTGTCTGGCTTCAATAATGTAAATTTGGTTTTAATCAGGTGTCTCTTTGAGAGATAACTTTACACCAGACAGATGAGTGTGGAAGCCAGATGATCAGTGAGGACCTTGACTGTTCCATTGAAACACCTTGCTAGCATATTGGCTTATTCTGGTGTCCATAGCATATGTGACAACCAAATTTTGGACAGTGGGGTTGCTGGGGAACAGGCAACTTGCTTGGGCTCAGTTTCTCTAACTTCAGGGCTCAGAGATAAAAGGGTACAACAATGACTTCCAAGGTTGGCTGAACATTCAAAAGTGATTATAGTCTCCCCACCCATGGCAGATTGTCTCCTAAGATCACCACATAAAACTGCCCCCCCTCACTCCACTCCTCATGCTCTTTTCAGTGTGAATGTGCTGCTCTCTCTTCCAAGAAGGGGTCTAGTCCCCTTCCCTGAGACTCAACTGACCCTGTGACTTGCACTGACCAAAAGAATGTGGCAGAAGGGAACTTGTGGGACCTCTCAAGCTAGTTGTGAAGAGGCATGGCATCTTCATTTTTTGTCCTCTTGCCAAGTAATGATGTCCAGTATCCTCACAGACTAAGGCCATGGGGAGCAAGAAACCCTGGAGAAGGAGAAAGGACACAGGGAAGAGAATCAAGGCACCCCAGCTGATAGTCATTACCAAAAGCCCAGCTGTGAGAGTGGGGCCATCTTAGCTCCTCCATCCCCAGTCCAGATGCTGGCCCACCTGGCAACACCTGGCCCACCTGGCAACACCTGGAACAGAGATGAGTACACGCCCTCCCTGAATCCCTTACTTACAGAATAGTGAACAATAAAATATTTGATGTATAAAGCCACCTAGTTGTGCAACAACAGAACCTCATCCACCCTCTTGTTCTACTTGGAGAAATTGGCCCCCCAAATTGGGAAGGCCTGCCATAAATGGGACTATTGAAAAGATCAGAATAGGCTTTGCATCATTATCACTGGATACAGAGCATTTCTCTCCAAAGATTAAAGCCAAAACTAAATGAGTTGCTCTTCTGCAGAGCTGGGCCGTGCCATTCAAATCCAACCATTTTATTTGGTCCTCAAATCTTTTCGGCAGCCTATGTGAGGTCAGCGAGCATCCCCCCAGTTTTCTGAGAGCCACTGGTGCCATTTTAGCAACGCTGAATCTCTTCAGTCTTTATCATTCTTCTTACTGAGCTTGACAAATGACTGTTGACAGAAATTTTTTAAAATTGAGATTTGATCCCCCACTGAGTATAAGTGCAACAAAGTTTCTATTAGCTATGGAGGGGAACACACAGACTGCTGAGCAGATCATTTCCCGTTTTAGCACATACACACTGAAAGTGATCAATTCTCCGTATGGTTCTCTGTGGACTCAGGAGGACTTTCCAGCAGCTTAGGCATGTTCCCTCATTATCATATGGTCAATAAATTATTTGCCGAGGTGCATTTTATGGTTGCCCAATCCACCAGCATAATAAAAGTTTGAATTAAGTAATACTCCTTTTTATTATCAGAAATGAATTACCTCAGGGGGCCAGCAGATACACAAATGCAGTGTGGCCTTCCACTAATTGGAAGATTTTTTTCAATCTGCTTCTGACAAATGCAGAAGAAAAAACAAAATCACCACATTCCAAGATTGTTCAATTATCAATATTATAGATTTATCTTATTGGACTCATTTTTGCTCTTCATTCAATAAAAAACAATACCACCATTTCCATAGCAACCATGGCATACCATTAGGACAACGCTAAACATAAATTCCAAACTTTCAGTGTTCTCTCTGAGCCCAGAATGGAAGGTTTTCTGCAGGGCATGGCAAAATGTTCATCCTGGAGAAAACTTCCATTTTGATTCCTGCTAGACCTGAGATGCTGGCAAAACAGCACATTACACTAATAAATACATGTAATCACACTGGCATTTATGTTCACCATAAAGGGAATATCATACTTTGATATATGAGTGATGGTGTATTCCTATGGCTCTAAAAGCTCATATTTCATTTCTAACTTTTAAACAAAATTCAGCTAGTAATGATTAAGTGCTTCCTGTATACAAGGGATGGTCTGTCGATTTTCTCACTCCTTGCAGTTCATGAACTAGGAGCAGGACCCTTGGGAATCTAGTCCGTGTGCTCCTTAAGGGTGAAGTCTGAGTCTTTGCCTTGGCTCTATTTCTAACACCTGGCATGTAGCAGACAATCAGTAAATGCTTATAAACGAACAAACACTTCTTAATGACGCTGAGAAGCTAGAAGGGCAGAAAATTAGAGACCCATAAGTGTTGTTTGAAAAGATGGATAGAGTTTGGTCCAGTAAGGAAAAATAGGAGAAGGACATGGGACATGAGAACAATGAGGAAGGTGAGGAAGGGGGCTGGGCAGGAGAAGCAGGAGTTTGCAGACTCTGAAGTCCCTGGCAGCTCATGTCTGCAGTAGGCTGAGAGCAGAAGGGAAGCCAGGGAGGGAGAGACCAGACAGGTCATAAAGCGCCATAGAGCACAAGCTTAAGTCTGGGCATCACGAAGGGTATTGAAGCCTACAAAGCAGAGACACGTCTTGGTTGGGCTTTAGAAAGATTATTCTTTAGAAAGATTATTCAGGCTTAGTATGGAAGTGGAATCCAGAAGACAGAGCAAGAGTGAAGGAGATTGTCTACTGGAGAAGTCCAGTAGAGTTTTGGCCATCCTGACACCCCTTCATTGCCACCACAGGTAAACAGCACAATCGAGTTCTGGCACCGTGTCCATACCAACGCCCCCTGAGATTCTCTACAAGCTCCAACAAAGCAGCTTAGGGCCCCAGTTCTTGAAGCATCTTGAGTCTTGGACACTGCGTTTCAGGAGACATTTTGCTCCACAGTAAAATGCTACCCCTCACACCTTCTCTCCGCCCTGACCTCTTCCCATTTGTGGGCACTTTCCAGGAGGATGGGAAGGGTAGAGAAAGGGGATGGTGTGTTGCCTTCTCTTGCCTAGTTTCAACATTTATGAGGACAATCCTCTCTTGGGGACAGAATACTGGTCTTGAGCCAGCGTACAGGCTGAATTTGCCGACAGAGCTTTCCACCATATGAGGGGGGGATGAAGCCACTTTATTCCCTGATGATTCTCATTAGAAACACACCCAAAACCACCAGCATTCAGGATCATAGACCTCCCAGCCCAAAGCACACCATGAGCCTACTTGAGCTCCATCAGCCTTTGCTTTCAAGCTGCTTTCCGGAACCTTGTAGGTTTTAAAAGAGAAGAGACCAAGCCTTGTACTATTTTGTAAACATCAAAAACCGCCTGTCTAATGTGGGCCTTTTCCAGATTAGTCTGTGAAAATAGTAAAATGTTTCTGAAGAAATATTCAAGACATGGAGATTACTCAGAGTAGATGAGAAAAAATCTTCAGCAAAGACTCACTGAATCCTTTGAATCCAGGTTACTGTTCTTAATGGCAATGGGAGCCTAATTGGTTTGCCAGCTGCATCAGAAACCCAGACAAGGAAACGCTGGCTGTGTAGCAGAGGGATTTAATTTGAACAGAGAGAAAACTTACTGGTAGGAAAGGTTGTTAGGGACTATAATGGATTACAAAGAAAAACTCTTTCAAATCCCTTCTTCCTGCAAATATTCATTGAGCATCCTCTCTGGACTAAGTGCTGCTCTGTGTTAAGGGAATTGATTTATGAATAAAACCAAGACTCCTACCCAAGGGGAGCTTACGTTCCAGCACAGGGTCTAAGGAAGACCAAACAAATGAGACTGCCAGACACCTGAGCCCAGAGTGGTACAGTCAAGTGCGGGTACAGTGGGTACAGTCCAGTGAGGGACCGCCTGGGGTGGGGCAGTGCAGTGAGGAACAGCCCAGTGAGAGCGGTGTGGGACATTCCAGTGTGGGACATTCCAGTGTGGGACATTCCAGCGTGGGACAGCTTGGTGTGGGGAATTCCCATGTGGGACAGCTTAGTGTGACACAAGCCAGTGTGGGACAGCCCAGTTTGGGACAGCCCAGTGTGGGACATTCCAGTGTGACATAGTCCAGTGTGGAACATGCCAGTGTGAGACAATCCAGTGTCGAACATTCCAGTGTGGGACAGCCCAGTGTGGAACATTCCAGTGTGGGACCGCTTGGTGTGACACAGTCCAGTGTGGGACAGCCCAGTGTGGGACAGCCCAGTGTGGGACAGCCCGGTGTGAGACAGCCCAGTATGGGACATTCCAGTGTGGGACAGCTTGGTGCGACAAAGTCCAGTGTGGGACATTCCAGTGTGGGACAGCCCAGTGTGGGACAGCCCAGCATGGAACATTCCAGTGTGGGACAGCTTGGTGTGACACAGTCCAATGTGGGACAGCCCAGTGTGGGACAGTCCAATGTGATAAAGCTTGGTGTGGGACATTTCAGTATGGGGCAGCCCACTATGAGACATTCCAGAGTGGGGCAGCACAGTGTGAGAAAACCCAGTGTGGGACATTCCAGTTTGGGACAGCCCAATGTGAGACAGCTTGCTGTGACACAGTCCAGTGAGGGACATTTCAGTGTGGGGCCACCCGGTGTGAAACAGCCCAGTGTGGGACATTTCAGTGTGGGACAGTCCAGTGTGATACAGCTTGGTGTGACACAGTCCAGTAGGGGACATCCCAGTGTGGGACAGTTGAGCCTGGGACATCCAGAGTGGGATATTTGGTGTCGAACAGCCCTGTGTGGGACAGCCCAGTGTGGGGATGGTGGCCACAGCCAGGTACAGTGGGAGGAGAACATGGCTTGCCTACCCGAACATCAGGATATGAATAAATCATTGGAATGGGCTAGAAGGCAGGGAGGAGTGTGATTCTGGAAAGGAAGTTCCAGGTGAGGGCCGACCGTGAGGAAGCTTACAGGCCACCACGAGGAACTGGGACTACCCTGGAGAGAACAGGACTGGTGGCGGCAGGAGGAGGGAGCTGGCTGGGGCAATGAGCCAAGGATGCAGGGGGAATGGCAGGACAAGAAACCAAGCAGGCCTCTTTAGAGACGGAGGACACCAGTGACAAATGCCAAGACCCCAAGATGGAATCTGTGAGAAGCAGGAGCCAGCTCTTAGGCTCAGGTGATGGAAATCAGGTAGTGGCAGGAACACCCGTGGGAAAGAAGGCAGGAGAGAGTGCTGAGCCAGGTTCAGCACCGCCTGTGAAGTGCCTCCCGGAGGGTAGGGCGGCCACAGCCAGCGTGATAAATTCACTTGCGAGTTACCTGTATGTGCCATGTACGGCCCCGGGTCAGGCAGCTCCAGGTATGTGAGGCCCATGGATGTGGGTGACTGAGATGACACAGCCTCAGAAAAAAGCAACGTGAGCCTCCTTCTGACAGACGGTGGACCAATCAATGAAATGGCCGCTGCCCAGCCAATGCTGGCTCAGTCCTGGGCTGCGGCATCATTCACTAATCAGAACCTTTGGAAACACAGTCTCCTAACCCCTTACCTGGAGCATGACTCTGAAACTCCAGGCTCTGACCTTCCCTGGATGTTTTGTTCAGCCCAGGTCCTCAGAGAGGTATTGGATTAACCTCTCTTGACCCCCAAGCTCTCCAAACAGATCCCTGGTTTCAGAGGCACAGCAGGTAAAAGAGAAGCACAGTGTGCCTTAGAGGGTCTTCAGCCCCAATCCCTTGGTCCTCAAGGCGAGGTGATTTCTAGCCAGGGCTCCCTGCCCGGTGGTCCCCTTGGAACAGAAGCAGTGGCTGCACTCAGCCGAATTCTTCTCTGCCTGGCCTGGAAGCTTGGCCCCTGCTGGACTTCACCATTACTTGGGCTGCAGTAAGACCCCGGAGTCAGATTTATCTCTATAGGTTTCTCCATTGGCTTCTTGACCCTGTGGTTTTAATTGCTTGTTTCTTTCTTTCTTTTTTTTTTTTTTTCCCCAAAGATTCTATTTATGTATTTGAGAGAGAGAGAGACAGAGAGAGACACAGAGCAGGAGCAGGTGGGAAGGACAGAGGAAGAAGCAAACTCCCCAATGAGGAGGGAGCTCAATGCAGGTCTGGATCCCAGGACCCTAAGATCATGACCTGAGCTAAAGGCAGACGCCCAACCGACTGAGCCACCCAGACACCCCAAATTCCTTGCTTCTTGATGTCAGAGGCCCAGGTACCGTCCCGGGCTGGTCAGCAATTCCATTCTCCAGAATCAGAAAATCTCCTGTTCTTCATGAATTCCTGATAGAGCACTGTCAGATGTCACTGTGAACCTTTCATACACACCCACCCACGAGGTGGATATGTTGACATCCAATACAAGATAGCCCACAGCATCATTCCCCTGAAGATGCTTCGTGAACTTTTCACAGCAGGCACAACACGCTCCGATTTGAAACACCGTGTAATTTCAAACAATAGCAGACATCAAACGATGAGACGCAGAATGCAACAATGAGGAACTTCGGAGCCCTTCTCTCCTTCTATAAAGGGGCACATAGTCGATATTTTAGGCTTTGTGGACCAGAAGGTCTTTGTGGCTTCCTAATCAGCCATTAGAGCACACTCAGAAACAACTGGGTGTGGCTGAGTTTGGGGGAAACTTTATCTACAAAATGGGCAGTAAGCCACAGGTGGTCTGCAGGCAGCAGGTGGTTGATTGACACGGTGCAAAGAGGCACAGTGGAGGGAAAGAGAGGACAACACCTCTAGTAACAGCAAAGTGTCAAGGCTGGGCTGTCTAGGCACATATGAAAACGTTTGTGTATGGAGATGTAGAGATGTAGGCACATACATATCCCTCGCGTGTGTGTATCACACATAGACTTGGAGATTTTTGTTTCTGGCAGTTTAGAAGATTGGATGCACTGAATAAGGTCCCTCTTGTGAAAGCAATTCTGGGGCACTTGGGTGGCTCAGTTGGTTAAGAGTCTGCCTTCAGCTCAGGTCATGATCCTGGGGTCCTGGGATTGAGTCTCGAGTTTGGCTCCCTGCTCAGTGGGGAGCCTGCTTCTCCCTCTCCCACTGCCCCTCCCTTCCTGTTTGTGCACTCTCTTACTCAAATAAACAAAAAGAAAGAAAAGAAAAAAAAATTGTGGATAAAACACATCTGTGACCTGGATAGGAAGTAAGGAGTCCTCAGAGGAATCAAAAAGCAGAGTGAAGGGATGAGCCCAGTGTATTTGTAGCAAACCATGAAAGACAATGAGATTTCCCTTCTTCAGCTCTTCAGAGCTCTGGGAAGACAGTGAAATAGCCTGAACAAGGTGGGGACTCCAGAAGGAGCCTCTAGTATGTTTATTACATATCAATCCCCTCGGGTGTTTCACTGCTGGAAAAACTCACAAGATTCAGTTTAAACTCACAAAACAGCTGACAAAGGATTCAGCACACTAGTAGCAGCAGAAGGACATGCATGGAAAGGGGTCTGGAGACCGCAGGCCTCAGCTTTTTTGTCCTTCCATGCCTGGGTCTCCTAGGAGAGCCTTGTCTCCGGGTGGTAATAGGAACTGGTATGTGTGCTTGTGTGTACTTGTGCACCTATGGATGGGAGGCCAGGTGGGTGAGGCACCTGGGTGCCTTGGTACCAGGAACTGCTCGTGGTGGGGGTCTCTAATAGATAACTTCTAGCTACATGACCAGTCTTAACCATTGAAACCCAAACTTCCTCCCCAGATTCCACAAAAATCAGGGACAAATCATAAATCCAAATATTGTTACTCAACAATACCGACAAACTGCTACATTTTACTCTGAAACTGATCCACGATCACAGAACATCATTTGTAGTCAGGGAACAGGTGCCAAAGCCTTGTCTGAGGGTCAGTAGCTCAGGAGATGAGCAGGAGTCAGTGTAGCCCAGTGGAGGTGACCCCCATGCTATCTACCACATACAGCTGGGACCCCTCAGTGTCAGGAATACATTTGTGGTTCAAGAAACCTTAACGTGGTCTCAGATTGGGGGTGTGCCAGGTGGTAGTCAGGAACAGATATAAATCCTTTAGGGAGAAAGTCAACTTCAACCAGAGCCCCAGAGAAATCACACAGGTCAAGCTGCCACAAAGCTGAGGGACAAATCAGGGCACACACAGAATCACAACGTCTTCAGATATTGGAGTCCTGAGGCTCACAGGGTAATATAACTATTTTTCATAAGCTTTAAGGAATTAAAAATATGAAAGCACATTTAAAAAAAAAGAATCTGATACTACAAAGAATGGTCAAAACAGTCAAGAATTTGAAAAAGAACCCAATACAGTTTCTCAAAATGATAACTATGATAATGGAAAAAAATTAATGAATTAAACAAAAGATTGAACACACTTGAGAAGAAAAGAAATGAGAAAGATGGGATGGAATTATCCATTTTTAGTTCAAGGTACAAAGGATGGACCGAGTGCAGGAAGAAGGGGGTTGGATCAACTTTGGGAACAGATTAGATGCTCTCCAGGCATTCCGTCCAGGTTAGCCCAGGTCACTAGATCTTCTCTTTTGTCTTGCTTGGGTTTCAATGAAAAAACAAAAAAATATGACTTTTCTGTGAAGTCTTCTGATCTTTAAATTTTGGGCACTAATTCAATTAAAATGAACAGGTCTGTGGGCACTGCAGCTAATCTGTGAACAATGTGTGCCTTCAGAGTATTGAGGACAGCAAGACAGGAGTTGAATTCTAGGTGAAGAGAGAGAGAACCCACAATGGGAGATCGCTACAGGCCAATAGCATGGAATCCTACTGAGTCATGGGCATTGAGGGTAGCTGATTGTCCTCGAAGACGTGAAGGACAGAGCTGCACAGAGATGTGAGTTAAGCTTAGTATATCCAGACCAGCTTAAGGAATTTAACCTAAGATCCTGATACCCTGTTGAACAAGCTGCCCTTGACTTTTAGCCAAGGACACCGGAGGCAGGGAGTGTCTGGAAAAAAAAAGCACCTGAATCTCATGTCACAGCACTGGGACAATGAATGTACTACTTAGTACTACTTAGTACTAAGTAGATACACATTGGGACACTGGATCTTACATTGCTAAAACCATGTCAGAATTGCCAGAAAAAATCTTGGAAACGTCATCTCTCCTACTGCCAGGCAAGTAGACAGAAATTTCCAATAGGAAAAGCATCCTTAAATACTCACCAAAGGATTAATGAAATCTGGGAACAATGTAACCAGGAAATAGCTTTTCTGATGCCGATTGCTGAAAGAAGACTGTCAAAACGCCAGAAAACAAGGGGCAGCAAAGAAGTTAAGAGGAAAGAAAGGAGAAGAAGGGAAGAGAATGGTTTAAATACCACCCTGATGTTTTGAAAGGCATGGAAAATTGGCAAGGTAGATTCTGGGGCTCAAGGAAAAGGGCCAGACTGTTCACTGAGGTCCTCAAGACCTTCCCTGTGACTTGGTATCACAGAGGAAGAAGAAAGAGGTCTGGTTTCATGTCCACTTCCACTCTTCAGGCAAGGAGCTCACTTTCGAAGTCTCAATCTGCTTGCCGCCCTCTGTATTTGGAACACCCAGCATGGTAGCCAGCAAATGAGGTCTCACAGAAGGCAATTTCTCTCTTCAGCCTAGACCTCCC